GGATTGCTGGATCATATAGTAATTCTATTTTTAGTTTTTTAAGGAACCTCCATACTGTTCTCCATAGTGGCTGTATCAATTTACATTCCCACCAACAGTGCAGGAGGGTTCCCTTTTCTCCACACCCTCTCCAGCATTTGTTGTTTGTAGATTTTCTGATGATGCCCATTCTAACTGGTGTGAGGTGATACCTCATTGTAGTTTTGATTTGCATTTCTCTAATAATTAGTGATGTTGAGCAGCTTTTCATGTGCTTCTTGGCCATCTGTATGTCTTTGGAGAAATGTCTATTTAGGTTTTCTGCCCACTTTTGGATTGAGTTGTTTTTTTTTTAATTTTGAGCTGCATGAGCTGTTTATATATTTTGGAGATTAATCCTTTGTCTGTTGATTCGTTTGCAAATATTTTCTCCCATTCTGAGGGTTATCTTTTTGCCTTGTTTATGGTTTCCTTTGCTGTGCAAAAGCTTTTAAGTTTCATTAGGTCCCATTTGTTTATTTTTGTTTTTATTTCCATTACTCTAGGAGGTGGATCAAAAAAGATCTTGCTGTGATTTATGTCAAAGAGTGTTTTTCCTATGTTTTCCTCTAAGAGTTTTATAGTGTCCGGTCTTACATTTAGGTCTCTAATCCATTTTGAGTTAATTTTTGTGTATGGTGTTAGGGAGTGTTCTAATTCCATTCTTTTACATGTAGCTGTCCAGTTTTCCCAGAAACACTTATTGAAGAGACTGTCTTTTCTCCATTGTATATCCTTGCCTCCTTTGTCATATATTAGTTGACCATAGGTGCGTGGGTTTATCTCTGGGCTTTCTATCTTGTTCCATTGATTTATGTTTCTGTTTTTGTGCCAGTACCATATTGTCTAGATTACTGTAGCTTTGTAGTATAGTCTGAAGTCAGGGAGTCTGATTCCTCCAGCTCCGTTTTTTTCCCTCAAGACTGCTGTGGCTATTCGGGGTCTTTTGTGTCTCCATACAAATTTTAAGATTTTTTGTTCTAGTTGCATAAAAAATGCCATTGGTAATTTGATAGGGATTGCATTGAATCTGTAGATTGCTTTGGGTAGTATAGTCATTTTCACAATATTGATTCTTCCAATCCAAGAACATGGTATATCTCTCCATCTGTTGGTATCATCTTTAATTTCTTTCATCAGTGTCTTATAGTTTTCTGCATACAGGTCTTTTGTCTCCCTAGGTAGGTTTATTCCTCGGTATTTTATTCTTTTTGTTACAATGGTAAATGAGAGTGTTTCCTTAATTTCCCTTTCAGATTTTTCATCATTAGTGTATAGGGATGCAAGAGATTTCTGTGCATTAATTTTGTATCTGGCAACTTTACCAAATTCATTGATTAGCTCTAGTAGTTTTCTGGTGGCATCTTTAGGATTCTCAATGTACAGTATCATGTCATCTGCAAACAGTGACAGCTTTACTTCTTCTTTTCCAATTTGTATTCCTTTTATTTCTTTTTCTTCTCTGATTGCCATGGCTAGGACTTCCAAAACTACGTTGAATAATAGTGGTGAGAGTGGACATCCTTGTCTTATTCCTGATCTTAGTGGAAATGCTTTCAGCTTTTCACCATTGAGAATGATGTTTGCTGTGGGTTTGTCATATATGGCCTTCATTATGTTGAGTAGGTTCCCTCTATGCCCACTTTCTGGAGAGTTTCTATCATAAATGGGTGTTGAATTTTGTCAAACGCTTTTTCTGCATCTATTGAGATGATCAAATGGCTTTTATACTTCAATTTGTTAATATGGTTTATCACATTGATTGATTTATGTATTTTGAAGAATCCTTGCATCCCTGGGATAAATCCCACTTGATTATGGTGTATGATCCTTTTAATGTGTTGTTGGATTCTGTTTGCTAGTATTTTGTTGAGGATTTTTGCATCTATATTCATCAGTGATATTGGTCTGTAATTTTCTTTTTTTGTAGTACCTTTGTCTGGTTTTGGTATCAGGGTGATGGTGGCTTCATAGAATGAGTTTGGGAGTATTCCTTCCTCTGCAATTTTTTAGAAGAGTTTGAGAAGGATGAGTCTTAGCTCTTCTCTAAATGTTTGATAGAATTCACCTGTGAAGCCATCTGGTCCTTGACTTTTGTTTGTTGGAAGTTTTTTTTTGCTGTACGCAGGCCTCTCACTGTTGGGGCCTCTCCCGTTGCAGAGCACAGGCTCCGGATGCGCAGGCTCAGCGGCCATGGCTCACGGGCCCAGCCGCTCCACGGCATGCAGGATCTTCCCGGACCAGGGCACGTACCCGTGTCCCCTGTATCGGCAGGTGGACTCTCAACCACTGCGCCACCAGGGAAGCCTGAAACAGGCTTTTTGAAAACCTGATTAACAACAAGGAGGTCATGGAGGGAGCAGTAAATTAGAATGAGGCAACCCAGTGGCAGATGAGATCAACGTGGTACCTAGGACCTCAGTAAGGGCTTTCACTTTTACTGAAGTGAAAAGGACTGCCACTGTGGGGCTATGAACAAGAGAAGGATATGATCAATTTAACATTTAAAAAGACTGTCTGGCTTCCCTAGAAAGATTTGACTATAAGAAGTCTCTTTAGGAAGCCACTGCAATAAACCAGGCAAGAAATAATGTAGCTTAGATCAGAGTAGTTCTGAGGTAATGGATGTTGAGTGTTAGGAAAAAAGAGAGAGAAGCTACGGATGTCTCAGATTTCTGCACCAAACAAGGAGAATGAGCAACAGATAGATGAGGTTTGGGTTGAGAAGATCAGAATTTCAGTTTAAGCATGTTAACTTTGAGATGTCTATTAGATAGCCAAGTGGAGATCTTAAATAGATATCTGGAGTGCAGGAGAATTATTTAGCTGGAGATACATGTTGGGGAGTCATCAGCATACAGATGGTACTTAAAAACATGAGACTGTGTAAGATCATGTGGGTGTGAGTGTGGACAGAGAAAGGAGGAGAACGAAGAAACATTAAAAAGGTGTGTGTGGGGCGGGGGGGAGAGTGGGTGGTATGTAGAGGAGAAGTACCAGAAAAAAAGTTGAGAAGAATTATAGGATAAGAAGGAAGTAAGTGAGGTAACTCTAGCAAAGAGTCTAATGTACTCTGTCAAATGCTGCTGATATATCAAGTAGGATGAGATAGGCTAGCACATCTTCAGTGAATTTGGTATAGAAGTACTGAAGATAGGTCTGGAGTTGGGTACATAAAAATTTAACAGAAGTTAGATAGCCTGGCCCGGAGGCTTTCTCTGGCAATAAAGTTGTCCTAAGTTATTAAGACAATTCTTTCCCCACCGTACCCATTGTACCGAAATACAGACTGGGATCTAGCTTGCATTAGGGTCCCTATGGTCAATTTAAAGCCCTCAGAAAGTCCTTAATGGCATCTATTCTACCAGTGTCAAGTTGTTCCCTCAACTTGAGAAATGACCTGAGTCTATGAACCCATCTAGTCCTAGCTCTACAATTCTTAAACACCGTTCATTTTGATTCAAATAAGTGTGATTTTAAAGTTTCTAAAATTACCTTGGGGTTCAGGGAAACCTGTGGCAACAATCTCAAAGGTTTGGGTTTGCTAAACTTTATAAAATGAACTGGTAAAGGTTTTTTTTAGCGTTCCCCCCACCCCGTTCTTTTTTTAATGGAGAATCTTTATAATTTTTATTGAACTTCAGCCTATAGGCAACCATTGGTTTTTTCTTTTCTCTATTTTATGTTCAAGAAAATAAAATAATGCAATTTCATACTGTGTTTTTAGGAACTCTGTTACACAGCATGTGCAAGTAATATGACACAAATTATAGTTTTCAGAGGCTGCATAAACAGTAATATAAAATGTAATAATATAGGTAATGTTTTGTAAGAGAAACATTCTGTCTTCTAAATCTTCCAAATTATTAATTTTCAAAAGCATACAGGGAAGAAAGAATATTGACAGACGGGTGGCTAGATGTACTGGGAAACAATGGTAGATTGTGAAAAGGCTATAAAACATTAAGTGTTAGGAAAATGTCAAGAAAATATAAACCATTATAAAATCCTGTTGATATTGATATATAACTTTATTTTTTAATGCAAGACCATTTATAAGGATACTATGTGGGACAGTATATGGAGAGCAGAGGATTTCAGGACAATATTTTAAGTGTCTCTGTAGTCTCAAAGAAAGACTTCTGAGACAGTGGGCTCTTGGAAAGAATACAGAGATTCATTAGTCCCCAGGGACACATTAGGCAAAGAATACATTGGTAAGCACTCTACCAGCAAATCTGGGGTTCCTGAGTGGCTCCTTTGACTGTAACCCATCCTATGCCACTCCTTTTCTAACTAGATGTTAATATAGCACCAGTGGAGAAAGAAATAGTTTTCACATTGGAAAAAGACTGCATTTTGATATCCATTTCCGTATATTAATCTTGAGTACTTTATATCCCAAGATTTTGCAATACGGTTATATCCCACAGGATAGAATTTGTATATAGAATGTGTCTTGGGCCTTATGCGGGAAGAGTCTTACTTGGAGTACCCAAACTTTCTTCTAAGATAATTTTATGTACAATATCTGGACCTCAAAAGCATGACCTAAAATGATATAATAAGTTTTCTGGAAAAACACACACATATACATTTAAACACGTGCACATATATTCATGTATGTTATGTGTGATAAAACTACAAAGAAAAGCAAGGGAATGGTTAACACCAAAATCAGGAGCATGATTACTCTTAGGTTGCAGTGAGGAGGATGTGATTTTGGTGAGGTTTGTAGGGCTCCAAGATACTGGTTAATGTCTATTTCTAAAAGTAGGCAGATTTATGGGTATTGTTTTTATTTACCGTCTATTTCATTTTTAAATTTAAAAAAGGAAAGTCATACATAAGAAATGTTATATCATGAGCATCTGAGATTTTTTTTAATGAAATTTATTTATGGTACCCCTGGAGTGATTTTAATACTACTTCAGAGCAACATTTTGATACACAAAATGTCTTTTTGTTTTTTTGTTTTCCAGTTAGAAAGGATATAGTCCGTATCCTCCCCAGTTTAGATGTTGAAGTCAAAGACATTACAGACAGTTATGATTCCAACTGGTTTCTTCAGCTGTTATCTACACAAGATCTTTTTGAAATGACCAGTAAAGAGTTCCCCATAGTGGCTGAAGTCATAGAAGCGCCCCAAGGAAACCAGCTACCCAGAAACGTTTTACAACCTGGGAAAACCATTGTGATCCACAAAAAGTGCCAGGCATCAAGGATCTTAGCTTCAGAAATTAGAAGCAATTTTCCTAAAAGACACTTCTTGATCCCCCCTAGCTATAAAGGCAAATTCAAGCGACGACCTCGGGAGTTCCCAACCCCCTATGACCTTGAGATAGCAAAGAGTGAAAAGGAGCCTCTCCACGTGGTGGCCACCAAAGCCTTTCATTCCCCCCATGACGAGCTGTCATCTGTATCTGCCGGGGACCAGTTTCTAGTGCAACACTCACAGACGACGGAAGTCCTCTGTGAAGGGATCAAAAAAGTGGTGAACGTTCTGGCTTGTGAAAAAATCCTCAAAAAATCCTATGAGGCAGCACTGCTCCCTTTGTACATGGAAGGAGGTTTCGTAGAAGTGATTCATGATAAGAAGCAGTACCAGATTTCTGAGCTCTGTGCACAGTTCCACTTGCCCTTCAATGTGAAGGTTTCTGTGAGAGATCTTTTCACTGAAGAAGACATTTTGGCTGCTACACCAGGACTACGGCTGGAGGAAGCTATCACAGACTCTTATCTACTCATAAGTGACTTTGCCAACCCCAAGGAGTGCTGGGAAATTCCTGCTGGCCGTGTGAATATGACTGTTCAGTTAGTTAATAATTTGTCTGGGGATCCAGGATCATTTCTAGTCAAGACTCTGGTTGAAGAGATCCCTGAAGAACAGTATTATATGATGCGGAGATATGAAAACTCTTTCTCGTACCCCCCACCTCGCCCTCCCAAACATCCCTCCGTGGAGGAAACAAAGTTAAGCCTGCTCAACTTAGCAGAAGAAAAGACAGTGGGTCTGCCCAAGTCTCCCAAGGTAAGGCTGATTTTGCAGTTTTTCCTCTTGAGTATTTTTCTGGGGGCAAGTTATTTCAAGTCTCTTCTGAGTCTAGTTTTTGCTTACTTTTCTTCCTTTCATGCCATATTTGAAATGAGCCTTTCTGGTGCACAGTATTTGATTGAACATCAACAGAGCCTAAGCTGTTATAGCGTTTTGTATTTTGATGCTTAACTAGTAGATGTGACAAGAAGTTTAGGAATTAGAACTAGCAGGGATGACACATGATTACAAACTGCTGTTTCAGTGTGTTTTGGTAATTAGGAATGGCTTATAAGGTGCCTCCGAAGCAAACCTCTTTTGTTTTGGAAGTGCTGTTCACGTTTTTCTAGGTGGAGTTGTTTTAATACTTCATGCAGGAAACAAGCACACAATCAACTCCCTTCTTCTGGGGGCGGGGGTACCAGTAGCATGCATCTATAACACATGTCTTCATTTCGTTTTATGTGTGGCAAGATGTAAAAATATCTTGGCAGAACTGTGTGAGAACATGGGCATCTGCCCACATTCTGCCTGTCTGAGAACTGTCATCTTTAACAGTTCTATTGAAAAACAAAATCAATAAAATTGCAGGCAGTATGAGATCATCGCAGAATCCACAACTCCATAACCACTCTAAAGATGGGAGGGGAGGCGTTTCAGCTTCATTTCTGCTTAAAGTTTTTGCCTCTTGAAAACTGCCTGCTGAGTGCCTGGAAAGCACTTGCCCTTACACCATGGAGCTTAAGTCGTTTATCTGGCAGGCAGTGGTTCTCTGGTGTGTGGAAATAGTGCATTCTGCCCTGGCAGATGTTGTGCGAGCAGCTTGGGGGAAACAAAGCAATTAGTAAAATAAAGAGAGATGCTGTGTTTACTCTGTATACTCAGGAATGATAGCAGCCTCAGGCTTCAAGGATCTGGGTATGGAAATACATTTAATTCTACATTTCAAAGATTGAATTCTGATTGTATGCTGGGGAAATCCAGTAAACATCTTCAAACTCAATCTCAGGAAAAGATAAAACCAGCAGAAATTTCCTTTCCAGAAAAGTCAATTTTGAAGGAGTCATTTTGAAACTAAACTAAACAACTGTTTCCAAATAATGTTGATTAACAGGCTGCTATTATGTGCAGAGTGCCTGGCTTCTCCTGTTTAATATATTTTTAATACTGAATTGAATGATGTGAGAGATGGAGTGCTGTTGTCATTTTCAGTGGGAAGCAGAATAATGTCCCATCCCTCTACCCCCATCCTCTCACCCCCACCCAAGGTGTCTATACCTAAGCCTCCAGAACTGTGAATATGCTACATTGGTTAGTAAAAGAGACTTTGCACATGTACTTAAAATTAAGGACCTTGAGATGAGATTATCCTGGATTATTCAGGTAGGTCCAAGTTAATCACAAGATTCCTTAAAATATCTTTCTCACTTAAGGTCAGGGTCAGAGAAAGATGTGACTACAGAAGAATTTTAAAGAGATGCAGCATTGCTACCTTTGAAGATGGAGGAAAGGATCATTGAGCCAAGGAATGAAGATGGTCTCTAGTAGCTAGAAAGACAAGGAAGCTTTCTTCCCTAGAGCCTCCAGAAAGGAGCACAGCTCTGCTAACACCTTACTTTTAGTCAATGAGACTCCTGTTGAATTTCTGACTTATAAAACTCCAAGATAATAAATTCATGTTGTTTAAGGCACCAAGTTTATGTTACAGCAACAGTAGAAAGCTAACATAGGACATAAAATTGGGAGGGAGGAATAAATAAAAACTTTAGATAGAAAAATCTGTATTTAAGTTAGGACTTGTTTTGCTGGCAAAGTGGCTCTTTTTCCCTTTTTCCTTTTAATGAAAGTAGTAGCTCAGGTACCCTTGGAGAACCTCAGGGTATACAGCTAGGCTTCAGGGACAACTGGAAACAGGATCTAGAACACAGACAGAGTGGGTCTTCCTTTTCATCACACATTGGACATTACTTCTGACAGTTCCTGCATCTTGTAGTTTCATCACTAGAGAAGAACATAATCTCTTTGTTTAGTTCCAATTTTTAAAAAGGGAAGGACTTTGGATCACATGCCCATCTCTTGGTTCAATCAATTCATTGGCTGCCCCAGCTACAGCCAGGATTGGTGGGGAAGGGAATAAGGACTAATTGTCTCAAATAATAGAAATATGTCTCAAATAACAGTATGTGAAGGTCTGGAGATATAAAAAAGTAGATGCCTATTACAATCAGAAAGGAATAGATCAAAAATCCTAAACTTCTAAGAAACCATTTGTAGAAAACAATAAATTTAATAAATTTAAAATGCCCTTTGAAAGAATGTCAAATGAAAATGATCTGCGCGTTTTATTAGAGAAACTCACAAAACAGCAACGTTTCATCTAGGTTACTGCTTGGAAAAACCTTCAGTCCTCCTCCTATGTTTCTCCTTTACTCTCACATTACTGCCACACTCACAACACCTCCGACACCAGATGCATGGAAATTTTCCCTCAGCAAGCGATTCTTTGACACCAGTTTGGTGTCCTGCAATTACTTAACTCAATTCAGATGCTATCTACCTGGAGATAACATCAGATCCCACAGGTTAAGAGCTCAGTCCCACAGGTTAAGAGCTCAGTCCCGCAAGACTGCTCCCCACTTCAGATGCCAATTGCAAGTAGTAGGTCCTCAGGTTACCAACAGCCTCTGTCTGACTTGGCTGCAAATCAGAGGTCCCCAGGACCCCCTCCTCAGTTTCCGTTAATTTGCTAGAGTGGCTCACAGAACTCAGGGAAACACCTACTTACATTTACCAGTTAAAGGATATGATACAGAATACAGATGAACAGTCAGATAAAGAGACATGAAGGGTGAGGTCTGGAAGGGTCCCGAGAGCTCAGGAACTTCTGTCCCATAGAGTTAGGATACACCACCCTCCTGGAGTGTGGATGTTTCCACTAACCTGAAAGTTCTCTGAACCGTGTACTTCTGGGAATTTTATGGAAGTTTCCTCATGTAAGCATGATCGATTATTAACTCCTTTTCCAGTCCTTCTCCCCTCTCTGGAGAATGGGGATTGGGGCTGAAAATTCCAAGCTTCTAATTATGGCTTGGTGTTTCTGGTGACCAGCCCCAATCCAGGAGCCATCCAGGAGCCCACTCAGAGTCGCCTTGTTAGAACAAAAGACACTCCTATCACCCAGGAAATTCCAGGAGATTTAGGAGCCCTGTGTCAGAAGCTGGGGTCAAAGACCAAGTATTAAAAAAGAAGATGTTCCTAGTGCTCTTATCATTTAGGAAGTTACAAGGGCTTCAGGAGCTCGGTGCCAGGAACCAGGGCCAGAGACCAATACATATATTTCCTATTATCTCCAGCTACTAAAAGAAAACAAATGCAATCTCTGACTAAACTCATACATGTAGGATTCCAGATCAACTTAATAATTCCTAACTACTTGTTCATTTTTCAGGCCCCATATGGATTCTTGTGTCTAGTTCTGCGTCCCACTCCTAAAGAATATTGATTACCTGAACTTTGTTAAGACATTAAGAGTTGTTTGTTAAGATGTTAAAAAGTCTAGGAGCCATTTCCTTCTGTAAATGGTTTAGGGAACTGAGTGAGAGTCTAAACTTGAATGACTTGGTACTAGATGATATTAGTTATTTTATACATTTAAAGAGCTATTTTGTGGCAAAGATTGCATTCTTATTTTCCATTACAACACTAGCTGAGAGTGAAAGGGAGGACAATTTTGGAGTAATATGTTGGAAATTATTTCTTATCCCTGAAAAGGGTTCAACAGAAGCTAGGAAACCCTAGGTCAGTAATGGTGTCAGGAGATTCCTGCTTGGTTGAAAGTTTATCAATTGATTGAGAATCTATGATTCTTTGTTTATGATAAGTTTCATAATTTCTGGTGTGGTCGATAAAGAGCTATATTTTCTCTGAAATCAGTTTAAAATGTCAGAGGATGCTATAATTTACATGTGTGCAGACCTACTGACCTCCTTATTTTCAACAATTTTTCTCACCATGAAGGTAGGACTCCACTTAGTAGATCGTTTTTGAAATTTAAACAGATGCTCTGTCAGTTTCTGCATAGTATACTCGAAAAGTCTTGCAACCAACCATTTCTTATGATCACAATGTCATCCTTTTATATATTTCTTTTATATTTCTTCTGATATCTACATTAAAGCTCTTCTATTTATGTATGCGTTTGAAGTGGTTGGATAAGACTTTTTTTTAGCACTTTGCAGGCAAGAAGCAGCCACTGAAAACCAGCCTCTAAGGTTTTGGATTGTATATGGAATATTGCTTTAAATTCAGAGAACAATTTGTGATGGTTATTCAGGGTTTAACTATTCAAACTGACTTAACTTATTAAAATACCTTATTACATAGGTAGAGAAGAATATCAGATACTTCATTATATAGTTTACTTTTGTCTTCCTGGTGTCATTAGCTTTACTAGATCATTTCTTGCATTTCACAACAGGATAGTTGTACGGGCTGTCTAATTAAGAAACTAAATGTACTCAATGTTAGCCAAATTCACTTGTAGTAGGTATCCATTGTCGGTTATGAGCCCTACACATTCACCTTAGAAGTTTAGAAATTAAGACTGTCTGAGGACAGGTTATTGGAACTAGGATAATAGAAAGAATTGTTTTCCAAGGTAAGATTGTCAACTGTTCTCTAATACCTAAATAAGAAAAAAACAACTGTAGTAGAAATTTGAGAATTGTGGTTTGGATATAAGCAGGGGCAGATGAGATGGGGGATGGATTTCAACAGAATTGACTGCACACTTCCAGGCCCATGAAGTTTGACATTGAGGGATTTTATTCTTGTTTTTTAAATGTGCTCGTTAACTGTTTGGGAAAATAATGTATGAAGTCTAAAAAAAAGGGATGAGAATGTACCAAGAGACCCTTCAAATTTCCTCTTAGGCTTATAACAACGTAAAAATAGTACCTTTAAGATTTGTGCATTCTGATACTTGATCAGATGAAAAC